ATATATATATATATATATACATACACACACACATGCATACACACACACACACACACAAACACACGCACACACATACAAACACACACACATAGAGAGAAAAATAATTATTTTGCTATAAATCTATTTTGATTTTAGAAAAGTTAACAATACTTAATGGAACTTCATATCATGCAAGTTTCAAAGCTATGCTTTTAAAGTAAGTTTGTCAAAAAAAAAATAGTACTGGAAAGCTGACATACTGAAAATTCTGTTAAACTGAAATTTTCTTAGTTAATTTACATAAAGTACATGGTAACAACCTGTTTCTCCGCGCATTTGCCTTGTTAGTCAAGGTTCGTGTTTCGGAGTTATAGAGTTAAGAGATTGTTGTAACCACAAAAGTAGCCTCTACGACTGTAATGGGCTTCTTGGCCGAAAAAAATATATTCAATGGTTCTTTAAAGTAAAATAGGTGTCAAAACAAAGTTAATTTTTCACTTTTATTTACAAAGTTTATTTTATTTATTTTAGACTCATGGTAAACCAATTCCAAGTGTTGTTCCAAATCGGATTGTAGAAAAGAACTTTCACTCTAATTTCGACCAGTTGAGCAAAAAAATTAAAAGTCATTTTACCAAAACTTGAATCAAAGTCGCAACTGACAATGGCAAAAATCAGGTGGATAAATTTGTCATTCACTGCAAAGACTTAAAAGTTCTTTGTCAGCAACTTTGTCTGCAAGTTCTTAAAACTAGAGATTATCACTTTTGGATCAATCAGAAAAGATTATTCGGCATTCAATGTGGCTGGTGCAAACATCAAGAAAGAGTTAATTAAAGTCAAGATTTTAAATTTACTTGTGTAATTAATTAAATAATGAGTTAAATTTGATTTGAAAACAGTTTGTGATATTCACTTAAGTTGTTTTAATTTTTATAGCAGATTGTAGTTAAACGCAATAACTGCACTATTTCGGCATTTAATGTGGCTGGTGCTAACATCAAGAAAGCAAGTTTATTTAGAAACTCTATTAATGAACCCATCATCAATGCTTTAGAAAAATCTTTTGTTCTTAATGTTCTTCCACCCGTCGAGATTCATCTGTTGCTTGGTGTCATAAATCATCTTCTACAATCTCCCTCAAAGGTTTGGGTACATGCTCTTGAATGGCTGGCATTACTTCATATTCAACAGCAGTCATTTCATGATGGACAACTGGCTAGATTAAAAAGGTTTATGCTGTCATTCACTCTAGGGTTTATGCTGTCATTCACTCTAACCCTGTTTTCTCAAAAAACCTAACCCTAACCCTGTTTTCTCAAGAAATAATAATTAGAATTGTAACTTTACTTTGAACGAATTGAAGAAAATTGTTATTTACCAGTGAATTTACTGCATAAATATTTATGTTACATTTTTAGGATAAATAAAAGTTTTTAAAACCAACTTTGTTAGTTGCTTATCAGCAATGTATTAAATGAGATTTTGTGCAAAAATTAAAAGTCCAGTTTTTTTTCCCGGACGATGTAACCAGATTTTGGGACTTATAACTTAATAACCACCAATGAGAGTACAATCATACCCCTAAAAAGAATTTTCTGCATCATGACATCAAGTAATATTTCATTTTTTTTCAACAGCGAGACTGATTAGGTTTGTTTTCATTAATGCTCTTCTGATGTTGATGCATACGCGCATTTACCTGCATTTTTGTTTCACGTATATAAACTTTGGAACAGTTGCATTTTATCATATAGATTCCAGGCTAGCTGGTATCCATGGTAACGACAATACAGGAAAATTATTGCATTCTGATGGAATTGTGTTTTTATTTTGTCTTTTTTGATGAAATTGGTGTGTATTAATGTTCCACAATTGCTTTTCATCGTACCCATTTTTAATAAACAATGTCAATTAAAAAAGTTATTTCTATAACTATGCAAATGATTTTGCAAATGATGTTTACTACAGATGGAGTAAGTTTTGTGGAAAAAGCCATTGAGTAAGACTGTTAAAATATTTGGATCCTGATTTGAATGCGGTTTAATTTAAATGTTAGTGATTGCCTTTTTTCAATATACGTTGTACTCATATTTTCCTAGGGTGTTATTTGTAATGGCTATATTAAGAAAGCATTTTTTTTCGTTTTCAACATCAGGGTTAGGGTTAGGATTAGAGTCAGGGTTAGGGTAAGGGCTAGGGTTAGTTTTCAAATATTGAAAAACAATTATTCTCATAGGGTACGATTTTTCAGGTTTTTTGAGATTTTATAATATTATGCAACAATGTGTAAAAAATAATAAGCTAATTAAATGTTAACTATTGTTAGTTTACAAGACAAAAATCCTTGTGCAATGAAAATATTATTTGGGAAACAACAAGAACGTTAAAGGTAGAAAAAAAAAGTTTGAAAAATTTTAAAATCAAAAGAAGCCATTCATCTGCTGACGTTAAAATTAATAATTTTATATAAACTATAACGATTAAATATTATTGTAATATTTTAAAAGCTAATGATGCTGGTATCCATAACCCAGCAAAAAGTTTTTATATAATAAAATTATTTGCATTGAGAGAAAGTGTATTTCTTGATGTTTTATAATGTAAATATAACATACTCTCATACAAGATGTCATCTTTTAAATTTCTATTTACAGCTAAATCTGCAGGTTAAAAACGGAGCTGAAATCTACAAAAGCACTGAACAATTACAATTATTAAAAAAATCTGTTGCTAAAATTGAAAAACTAATATTTGTCTCTACAAAAATGCAAAAAACATGAATATATATTTTTTGTTATTTATTACAATATTTAATAAAATATTTACAAATATATCAATAAGAAAAATTACTTGCAAAGGAACTGTTAAAAAATAAAGAATAAAGATAAAGAACGCGGATACTCAAAGTAGACCATACAGGTCTTATCACCGAGACCACTGTTAAAGAACTTTGAATTTAATTTAGATTTTAGAAAATCAAAAATAAATAAATACAATTTTTTAACTTTTCTTTAGTTATGGTCTTCATGACTTGAACTAAAGTATTAATTCTTCTGATCTTAGTTGTTAATTAATTAATAAATAAGCGAAAATAATAAGAATATGACTGCACTAGGTACATACAAATGCACTTCAAGGTTTCCAAAAGATTGGGTAGAAGAATTTAGAAAGCCAAATGACGGGACTCTGAATGTGAAGCCAAATTTATCAAATGTTGAAGCGTTTACGTTTACGCATCCACCGACAAAAGTACTAAACTACTGTCAAAGGATCGTTAACTTCCAGAAGTATCATACATACAATATTTGCAGATACATCCATTCACATACATCACTTTTTTTAATTTGTTTTTTATTTTTTGTTATTTATTTTTTATATTAATATATATATATTTATTTTTTTTAATTTTTTTTTTAATACAAAATTAAATTCAATACTAAAAGTATATACCGTTCGTAAGACAAAATATTTACAAATATTACGAATTAAGATAAAAATTAAAGTAAACAAGCAAATAATAATAGACTACTGTACAAATAATGTCAGTGCAACTTTTAACAAAATTCAAAAACAAATTTCAAAGTCTATATGAATAAACTCTCCAATAAAAAGTAAAAGTGTAATAAGTATTAATTATTGTTTTAGATTTAAACTCTTAAATTGCATAAGAAACGATTCAAAGAAACGAATCTTTAATCTTATGAATGATGTTAAAAAACTTCAAAACTTTCTTAAATGCAAACTTATTGAAAAAACTATATTAAAATAATGAAAAATCAAAAGAAAGTATATTAAATAAAAAGAACGATTAATAAAAAAATTTAACATACTTCAAAGGTAAAGTTTATGAAATTAAAAGAACGAGTAATAAAAAAGTTTAACATACTTCAAAGTGAATATGCAAATGAAAAGATATTGCGAGAAAAACATCAAAATATAAATTTTTAGCTTAGAAGTTTTAAACCTTTGCGATACCGTTACTTCCAAAAGTCACAATGATTTTCTGAACCTTAGTTCAAATTTTGTACCAACTTTAAAGTCAAAACCATACATAGATATTATAACAACAACACCCAGCGGGCACAGATGTCAATCAAACGTCTTACGGACGTCTTAACTAGGTCGCGACGTCTAAGACCAAATTAGGACGTCCTAAAGACGTCCGGTAAAGACGTCTTTGTTAGGACGTCCTTGTGACGTTAATATAAATACGGTATTAGGACTTCCATATTTAGACGTTTTATTGACATTGCTAAGACCTACATTAAACGTCCTAATTACCTTAGAAATATGTAGAAAAATTATTATCAACTTGGCGCAAACGATATTATGTGCTAACTCGGTTAATAAAGTGTCTACTTGTTTTGGTTGATTATTTTGAGATAATTAATTTTGTTTAGTTTAAAGATATTTTTTAAATTTTATATTCTATACTCTATGATCTATAAACTATAATCGATACATTATTTAAATAAAAGAAAATTGAGTTTAGTTGTTAAGTGTAACTAAGTTACAAGTATAACGAGGGAACTTTAACAAAAGACATCAAAATTGCACCAAGACTTTTCACTTTGTGTTTTATAGAATAGCAATGATATTTTGTTTGTCTATGTTATATATAATATATATATATATATATATATATATATATATATATATATATATATATATATATATGTAAGTATATATATATATATATATATATATGTAAGTATATATATATATATATATATATATATATATATATATATATACATATATATATACATATATATATATATGTAAATATATATATATTTACATATATATATATATATATATATATATATATATATATATATATATATATATATATATATATATATATATATATATATATATATATATATATGTATATATATATATATATATATATATATATATATATATATATATATATATATATATATATTTATAAATAGTTATAATATATTTTATAATGCATGTCACATTACTTTGTATTGTAAACAACATATTACCTTTTTTTCATTTCTTCTGAACATGATAAACAAAGTCGATGACCACACTTTGTTAAAATAGGTTTACGAAGTGCCATTTTACATATAGGGCATTCATGTTCGTCTGAAAGTTCTTCTAAAAAATGTGCATCGTATCCACCAAACTTTTCGGCATTCAAACACTCCATTCAAATTTTCTTAACTTTTAAAAAAATGTGCGTAGTTATTCTGTGCAACAAAAACCTTGTCTTTTATTTAGGTTTAAAAGCTTTTTTAAATAAAAAAGTAAAGTAGTAATTTTTGTCTTTCAAATTTATTAGTTCTTGAAACAATTTTTCTTATTAAAATATTTTATTTATCTATGATTTACACATAGCATTCTGACACTTTATTGAAAGTTAGTTTTCAATAAAATGTCATAAATGTTATTTCATTACTTGCCATTAAAAATAAAATCAAAAAAAGCGAATAAAAAACATGAGGTTTTAAAGTAACTCATGCGACATTTTATTGTAATATGAGCATCTAGGTAATATGAGCTCACCAAAAGATTATTAAGATGTGACTAGTATTATTCAAGTATATATTTAGTATAAATAGTATATACAAGCAGTACATTTAGTATAAATTTACACGCATTAATTAGCGGCTCTCATCTAATTAAAATTCTATTTAATTTTTTGTTCCGTAAAAATTATTACAGATGAACCAATCTTTGACGCAAAATTTTGATGTTTAAATTTAGATATTTAGTTTATCATAAAGAAAATTATATTAGGAAGAAATTCGTTCCATTTTTGTTTCGAAAACAACCTATAGAAACATTTACTTTTGACTTAATTTAAATATTACATTTTACAGATTACATATTACAGATTACCCATAATTTTGTTATTTAACTAAAGTCGTTAAATTGCAAAGTCGTAAAATTTGTGGTTTTAATTGCTTTTTAAATAAAAGAAAGACGTCGTAAAAACGTGTGTATATTTTCTAAAAAACTCTTGCTTTTTTTAAAAGCAAGAGTTTTTTAGAAAATATACACACAGATGCACAAACACCTATACACATATATACACAGATACGTACATACACCAGGTAATTCAAACTTTTGTTACCTCAAACTGCTTTCAATAGTCCCTTAAAAGCCATAACAATTGTTTTACTCAACTTAAGTCAAACATTCGTATAGTCGAACCGTTTTCCTTGGTCCTTTAAAGGTTTGAGTTAATAGGAATTTACTATATATATATATTTATATATATATATATATATATATATATATATATATATATATATATATATATATATATATATATATATATATATATATATATATATATATATATGTATATATATATATATATACACTTAAATATACAACAAATAAATTTTTCCGATAAAAGTTAAATATGACTTTGATACGCGGGGTGACTTTGGTAATTTCGTCTGTTAGTTACAAAAATAATGATTTGAATGTGAAATTGCACAATTAGAGACTATTTTTTTTTTATTCTTGTACATAATTATATTCTGCTAATATTTTTGAAATTTTAATGATTGTGAAGTGATTCTAAATTGTGCAAATGTGTTAGGAATAACATGACTATAACAAAAAAATAACGATTTTTACACGTACCAAAAAATGCCAAAAAATCTTGTGATTTTAATTTTTTTGAATTTTTTTTTTCTAAAAATCTATACTTAGATGTTCAAGTGGTATTTTCCAGTTATAATACCACTGGAATATACCACATATATATGTTTTTTTTTTTTGGATATCTTTTTAATTTTGAATTGAGTTAACAACTAAAGGATATTATAAGTACTTAATATTTATATGCAATTAGTACTATTTTTTTGTTAGTGTTATTTTATAACTGCTAATTACTATAACAATGTTATTGATATATTATTTTTCTGTGTTTAGCATATTAACATCAAATTTATTTTTGTTTTTTCTTTGTCCATTCTGTAGATATATTCGATAACCAAACTTGTTGTCTAAATTTATAATTTTACCAGTAAATCTTATAAGTTTATTAATATGTTGTGTTCTAATTTAGTAAAAGTCAAAAAGAAAGTATTAGCGACACTGTAAAGAGGGTTAAATCAATAAGCCATTAAGAAATAATAGACTATCAAAGTCACCCCAAACGACGGGGTGAGATTGATAACATTTTGGATTAAAAATATATATATTAAGACAAAAAAAAAATTAAAAATATTTAATGGAATTATATAAAGGAAAGGTATAATGTTATAACGGGAAAAAAAAAATCAGAAAAAATTGTAATGAACCAGATTTATTTTGCAAAAATGCTCAAAATCCTAACAAAGTCATCCCGTTCTACGGTATATGTTCTAACGTTTTATCAATGTATGTGTGCTAGTTCGGAAAGTCTTTAAATCAAGATAAAAAAATCAAGATTAATAAAACAACAACTTAAAATCAAACATCATTAATGATTGATTTTATGTTTTTTAGTTAAAATAAATAATACTACTTATTAAAACCGTATGTTAAGGAATCTCGTTATTTTACATATATTTACAATAATCTCTGGTAATTTGAAGACCAGATTTTTAGTTTAATGGTATGACTTTTTTACTTTTTTATCCCCCAGGCGATCCCAGAATGCGTAGCAGAACGTTCTTGAAAAAGTTATCAAATATCGTCTATTTACATGGTTATTCATTTTTATATTCGAGTCTATTTATTCTTATATGTGCGTTTATTTATTCTTATATGCTTATTCATTCTTATATGCGCGCTAATATGCGAGTCAACTAGCCATAAAATCTATAATCTAATTTTATATAAATAGGTTTGTATGTTTTTATATAGATATACTTTAAATATAAATTAAGTTACCACTGATATTTATTTAAAAAATAGTTGCCGAGCCAGCGCTGGATTTATGTAACTAAGCATGTGGTTGTAAAATGGAATTAAATTAAACACTGTGGTATCCATAATATTTTCAAGTTTCCTGATTACTACATCCATATTTCGAGACCTTTTTCCCTGTTTGTAAGTATGCTTTAAAGAAGAACAAAATTCTTTTATTGGATTAAGCTGTGGTGTGTATGCTGGCAGACAATTAATCGCTACCCCATGAGAGGCTAGTGTTTGTATAACAGAAATATTCCAGTGGAATTTACAATTGTCTATAACAAGCACCAGCGCTTCCACATCTGCATTCCTAATCGCTGGTGCTAGCATTGTGATAATAAAAGTACAAAATGAATCTGCTCTCCAGCCTCCAGTTTTTGTTATTAAGCCAGCAGTCCGATTGTTGAAACAGCACAAATGAAACAAACATTCTTGCCCCGATTTACAGACGACTGTAAAATTGCTTGCGCACATCTTTTGCAAATAACCATATGTGCTGTTGTACACATTAAATCCAGTTTAATCCAAATAAAAAAGTTTTTCATTTAAAATTCCGTTAGCAAATGCATAACATGCATCAATAACTTGTGTTGAGATTCGTTCTTCTGGCACATGCACGACACGCTTTCTTGATAAATCCGAGCGTTTGAGTTTTTTTGAAATAGTAGGCTGAGACATGTTGAAGATTGATGCAGAAAGATTTTCTTTTATGGCTTCTAGTGTACAAAGGTTGTTTTCTTGAACGCCTTAATCAATAATATTTTTTATGTGAGTGTTTATAGGTCTTTAACGTTGCTTTTTATCAGAAAACGACTTGAATGCCGTCATGTCGTTGAACTCTCCTCTGTTTAACTTAACGACAAGATTTTGGATTGTGCACTTAGATAAATTAAGAGAAGTGGAAATGCTTGTTGTAGATTCATTTCTTTCAACTAAATGCTTAAGCATTTCAATGTGCTCTTTTGTAACATTTTCCCTTGTTTTACGATTGGCACTGCTATTTTCTCTTCCACCCATAGGGTAAATATTTAAGCATTAATAATGATTATAAATAATTAAACTTAAATCTAGATAAATGAATAACTAGATGCATAATAACTTATTCAATCGATAAGTTTAATAAAAAATTAAACAAAGACTTAATCTTAAATTAAATAAACCATCATCGAATGTAAAAAGTCTTAAGTATTTTTAACCTCGTTTACCAGGAAACAAGAACAATTTGTTTTGAAAAAACTGTGCTTTTTTAAAGCTCATATAAGAATGAATAAATAAGCATATAAATGAATAAATGCGCATATTTTTTTTCAAACAACATTGGTTAGGAGAGGGTTGCATAACGCATGCTTCTAAAAGTTTTGAAAATGTTGGGGTAAAATGGCGCCGAGAGAAATTAATGAGTTATTTTTGTTTCTTAATAGTAATAAGAATCTTGTAGAAAATTATGTTAGTAATGTGGAACAAATTTGCTCCCATCATTAGCACTTAGCAAAAATAGGCTGTCTCGTCCGCACCCGAGAAAACCGCAACATTCCTGTGAAAGCTTATCACCATAGGATTCCAAAAATGTAAACATTCAAATCATCTGCCTACGTCCGTGAAAGAAAATCAATTTTGAAAAATTCCCTTATTACACATTTATGTTAAATGACAGCATTTGTATTTTTTGCCATTTTACAGGTTTTATTAAATGTAAAAACTTCTAACAAAGGTAAAATATAGGTTTTTGCAATATAATTTTTTTAATTTTAAATTGACAAATTTCAGGAAAGACACTTTTTCAAAGAAACTAATTCTGTGAAGGTTGCATATTTGAGTCTCTTAAAAAAAACAACGAAAAAATGCCCAATTCAGCTAGAAATCATGATGAAACCAGGAAAGTTGTTTGCCTCCTGTGTCTCAAAAAGGCAAACAGACTGCTCACAACGTTTTTGCATGAAAATATTCAACAAGTCTACAGACAACAAATCAATTTCGAAGATGTAAGAGTTGGCAAGGGCTGTGTGAAACTTGTAGAACTGCTCTGAGAAAACGTTATGAAGGATATCCTGGTGAATTACCAGCTCTTTTTGACTTTGAAACAATCATTGTCAAACCACTCACAAGAGGAAATTCTTTTGAATGCTTGATTTGTCGCATTGGCCGGTTGAAATTGACTAAAAAGGAACCTCTGGACACTGACACGAAAGAAGAAAAGATTTCTGACAAAAGGTGCTCAAAATGTCTGTCACTAATTGGTAGGGGATTGCCACATCAATGCTCTGTATCACAGTTTATAGAGAATATAAGATCTTTGGCAGCCAATGATGGTAAAGTTGCGGAACAGATTGCATCTTCAACAATCACAAGCAAGGATGCATCTCCACATGGAACAGTTCGGCTTTCACAAACCAAGGGCGGGAGAGCATTGCCTAT